GCAATCAGTTAAGAAAAATATCATGTATATTAGTGGGAGCGATCATTGGAACGACCAATGTAGGCTTTATTCAACGGTATCAAAGCAAGTTGCGCGTTTGAAAGAGGTGAGTGTCTGCTTCAATTGCTTGGAAACCGGCGATATCAGTCGAGAGTGTAGACTTGAAAGGAAGAAATGCTTCCATTGCCAACAGAACCATAATGCAGCCCTATGTGGAAACTGTCAACGAGAACTGGAAACAGAATCAAGAATTGGCCAACGCACGGGCTGCCCGTGCGAAGATGCGTTTTTTGCAGAGTTCCCCGCAGTTTTTGTTGCGCCGGCATCGGTTTTTTCGGCAGATGCTTCTAGTAGAAAGAATTTCAGACTGGCCGCCAAAACTGTCATAACGCACGGGCTGCCCGTGCGAAGATGCGTTTTTTGCAGAGTTCCCCGCAGTTTTTGTTGCTACCGGTTATTGGTTTTATCGGCAGATGCTCCTAGCTGAAAGAATTTCAGACTGGCCGCCAGAATTGTCAGGAAACATCCCCTCAAAATTCCAGTCTTCTAACTTCTCACGTTCTCGAGTAACTTACCCGGAAGGAACTTTTCACGGGCCTGTACGCAAGTACCACGCTTATCCGCGGGCAGGAGTTGAACTCATTAATACCCACTTAGACAGGGAACAACCCCCTAAGACTTCAGCTCTCTAGCTTTTCAGAACCCCGAGTTATGAGCTTACGCGGGAAAAATTTTGAAGGGCTCGTACGCGGGTACCACGCTTACCCGGGGGCTGGATAGAGCTCATTAGCACCTGCTTGGACGGGGAACATTCCTCTAAAATTTCAGCTTTCTAGCATCTCAGAACCCCGAGTTATGAGTGCTTGGACGGGGAACATTCCCCTAAAATTTCAGCTTTCTAGCATCTCAGAACCCCGAGTTATGAATTACGCGGGAAAATTTGGGGGCCCGTATACGGGTACCACGCTTACCCGGGGGCTGGATTTCAGCTCGTTAGCACCTACTTGGACGGGGAACGTTCCCATAAAATTTCAGCTCTCTAGCTTTTGTGGTTCGCGAGTTAGCAGCTTACCCGTAAAAAACTTTGGCGGGCCTTACGTGAGTACCACGCGGGAAAGACCGCTAATTTTGGGGATAGGGGCCCGTACGTGCATGCAGATTAAGTCCCCAAAGTTTCAGCCCCGTAGCTTT